TCACCCAGCCTTGAGCACATCGCTGGGTGCCTCATTCTTACCTCAGATCCAACAACCCACAGTGGTGGTAGAGACATGGACAGCTCAGCAGGATGCTCATGCAAAACAACTGTGGTGGTGTAGGAATGGAGGGACCCAGAGTAACAGGTATATATTTTAAAACTGTTTTAAGGGTGTTATACTCCAGTTCTAGTGAGGAACATCCTGGACAGTTTGAACTGGAGTTTGGCCCATGCATCATGAGAACAGGATGATGCCAGAACGGGGCGAGGGTGGGGTACGGGTCTTTTGGCAGACAGGGCTTTAGTTAAATTGGAAGAGCTGGTGCTATGTTGAGCTAACTGGTTCCTAAATCCTTCCTTTCTTTCCTTTTCTTTGTTCCCTTTACTGCAGATTCCTCTGGAGCTGAGCGCTCAAGCATTTCTAGTGCCAGAAAAGCCGATTGTTCTGAAGTTAGTGCGACGAGATAATCTTCAGTAAAGGGTGGAAAGAAGCCTGACTGTGCATTTTTGTAGTGGATGCACTTGTCTCAGAAAAGCTATTTTTTTGCACTACAGCTTTCAGAATTCTCAGCCAACTTAGCCATGGAGGCTGGGGATTCTGGGAGTTATAATCCCAAAGGGAACTTCCCTAAGTTGGGTTTGTGCTTCTGAGCAGATTCTCTCAAGAGAACCATAGAATCATAGAATCATAGAATCATAGAGTTGGAAGAGACCGCACGAGCCATCCACTCCAACCCCCTGCCATGCAGGAAATCCAAATCAAAGCATCTCCAACAGATGGCCATCCAGCCTCTGCTTAAAGACCTCCAAGGAAGGAGAATCCACTACACTCCGAGGGAGTGTGTTCCACTGTCGAACAGCCCTTACTGTCAGGAAGTTCTTCCTAATGTTGAGGTGGAAACTCTTTTCCTGTAGCTTGCATCCATTGTTCCGGGTCCTGTTCTCTCGAGCAGCAGAAAACAAGCTTGCTCCCTCCTCAATATGAAAACCATTCATTTTGAAGACAGCAGGTGGATATCTGCAGACCTGTGGACAAGTGGTTTCACACTGCTTTTTGTGTCCTTAAGTCATAATGATTCCCCTCATTACTGGTGCTGTTCTTTCATTATTTTGAGGCCAGTTTCCTATATATCAAATCTTATGTTTGATACATTAAATCAATATATTGGGAATATTAAATCCCTATGATATATAGTCAATCAAATCAGTCTCAAAACAGTGAAAGAACCTGATAACATACATAGATGTAAAATCATCTTGAAATTCTTTAACTGTAATAAATAATACTTTAATATAAAAGTATACTTTAATATAATAAAGGCAAATGACTAAATATTAATTAGATTCATTCTTTACTTTAAAAATGTGCAGCTTTTATCACATTTATGTGCCTGTGATGTCCCACTGGTGGTGCTTCGCCCATCTCTTGTCTCTTTGTATGTTGGCATTGTTGTATAAGTCAGTATAACATTTGTCTGGATTCTGTGTACAAGGCAACATTGCTTAAAGTGTGACACATTGGACCACCAGAAAGGAAGACAGAGCTGGGAACATTTCCACTCTCATTCGCTCCTCCTCTTCTTCCATCTGCAACTGTGTCAGACTAGACACAATCTTAATTAAAGCTGGCAATCCAGTTCCAAGAAAAATGGCCAGCAGGTTAATTAATGACTTTAAAAACGAAGCAAAGCTATATTCTCCTATTCTCAAAGCTCCCTACCTCCAAGACACTCTCTTTTACTCAGAACAAGCAATTGTTACTCAAGCAACAATAATGTACTAAAAATCGTCCTTGCACAGAGAGCTGAAGTATCAAAAAAAAAAAAATGAAGGCATTAGCGCAAATGTGTCTCTGGCTAATTCTTTCAAAGCTTGAATATTTTCTTAAACAATAATTTCCCAGGGAGACAGGTAGAACCAACCTTTGCAAAACCCAGTGTAAATAACACATGGATTCTTGGGAGAAAGAACAAGTTCGGCTGTAGCTTGGTAGACTAAACATCCCTCATGAAATGCAGATTTGGTCTTGTAAACCCTAGAAACACGGTAAGGTGTTATAGTGTGCTAATAATGCACTGCTAGAACCTTCGACTGGGGGGGATGCAGTTTTTGCTTTCTCTCTGTAGAATAGTTGCCCAGTTGTAGTTTTGTGAGGCACCAGCACTCTTTAGAAGAGGAAGCTAAAGAGCTTATAAAACTACATATCCCAGGATTCCACTTAAAGTGATTTCACATTGCATTACCGTATATACTTGACCATAAGTCGACCTCTTGTATAAGTCAAGGGCAGGTTTGGGGGCCAAAATTATGGATTTTGAAATGACTTGTGGATAAGTTGAGGATAAAACTTAGGGTCGTATAGCAAAGGATGTAAAAGATGAAGTTACTGTCTTCCTACATAAATGTCTCATGCATATCCTTCTAATCCTGATTCGTCTCAGCCTCCTTTGATGGGAGGCTGCAAAGAGGTGCCACCACTGCCATTTTTCCACCCAAGCATTCAAAAAGGTCAGAAGCAGCATCATGTTGGAAAGAGTAGAGGGGGTTGGTGCTTCTATTGGGTGCTCCTGGGGATGGACTAAGCTCTTACCTTATGCCACTCTACTCAGAGACTGGAAAGAGTTAAAATACAGTACTTACATTGACCCATGGATAAGTTGACCCAGCTTTTTTGGTTCAGTTTTTTGACCAACATTTCTAGACTTATACATGAGTATATACAGTATTTCTACAGTGTAGATGCAATCCTCCATGAGCAATCTCTGGTGAAACAATCAAAATCAGGATCCCCATTGCATTTCCTCTTCACACTTTTATAGTGACAAGTTAAAGCAGTCTCAAACTGGATTGTTTCTGCATTGCAATTTTGTTGTAAAATTTCTTTATGCTATTTCAAATTGGAGTGTTTTATCAGGACAGATTACTTAATTGTTTTCTAAAAAAAACCTTTTTTATTAAAAATCACATACTTCGTTTTCATCTGTAACCTGCCGGGTGTTCCATGTCAGGAGAAAGGTGGAATATAAAATAAATGTTAGATGTTAAGTAAATATATAAGTCATATAAGTGGCGGTTGTTTTGTGCCTTCAAGTTGTTTTCAACTTATGGCAACCTCTATCATGGAGTTGCCACAAATTATGCAATCGAGTTTCCCGCATTTGCCTTCCTCGGAGGCTGAGAGAGTATGACTTGCCCAAGGTCACTCAGTGGATTTCATGGCCAAGCAGGAATCAAACCCTGGTCTCCAGAGTCACAGTCCAAGATTCAAACCACTAGCCACACCGGTTCTCTATAGAGATGCTGAAATGATGCCTTGCCTTGCATTCGGCAAATAAATCCCCCAAAGCAAAGAATCAATGAAAGGACGGTTACATCCCGAAGCATTAGGCAGTTGGCCGCCGAAAGACTAGAAAAACAATATTAAACATGCAGAGGGCTCTCTCTCATCTTCAAAAGTGTATTTCATCCTTCTGCTTTGGGATCTTGAGCTGCTTGGATTACTGCTTGTTCTCCTTAGACAAGACCTTTTTAAAAAGAAAACCCCTTTTCACACCTGTTTTATTTGTTCCTCCAGTAATACCCCGATAATTTCCCCACACCTTCCTCTTTTGTAGAAAATTACTAGAGAGCACCATTGGGGGATAAATCCTATATTCAAAAGGAAGACTACAAAACTCAACCTCGTTCTCCGATTGCTAGAGTGACCCAATCCACTGCTTAGCTGCTGCATCAAATCCTTTGAATTCATGCATAGGGAGGCTCATGTTCTCCTCCTTCATAGAAACTTTTCCCCCCTTTTCCTTCTGAGAAAGACCTTTGGACTATGCAGGATTTTTAGGCTCTTGCATTGATCCATTTGCTTTGTTTAAGCCGTTGTATTGAACTATCTTTACTGGGAGACTGTGAAGGGTTTTAATAGCTGCGTTACAAGACAGGGTGTTTGCACTCTGCTGCTTTTAGGGATTTTGGCAGGCATCATATGTCTACTATCACAGTTGACGTTATGTAAATTTGTGTATGCTTAGCTATGGAGCGGAGGCACTAAGAAATCTTGTTAGGCTGCATCCACACTGCAGAAATAATCCAGTTTGACGCTGCTTTAATTGCCATGAGTCAATGCTATTGAATCCTGGGTTTTGAAGTGTTGTGTGATAGCTAGCCTCCTCTGTCAGAGAGCTCTGGTGCCACAACAAACTACAGTTCCCAGAATTCCATAGCATTGAGCAGGGGTAGGCAACCTTTTTGAGCCGGGGGCCGGGTTGCTGTCCCTCAGACAATTGGGGGGCTGAAGCACCAAAAATAAATAAATAATTAAAAAAATTAAAAATTAAAAAAATATGCATACACACTCTCTCAGCCCCAGAAAAGCCATGGCAAAACCCCTGTGGAGATTTTGCCAAGAAAACCCCAAGAACAAGTAATAACAACAATAATCAATATCATCATGGCGGGCGGCGGTGGCGGCGGCAGGACCGGCCTGGGGCCAGTCCAAAGGCCTTGAGGGGCCGCATCCGGCCCCCGGGCCTTAGGTTACCTACCCCTGGCATTGAGCCATGGCGATTAAAGTGATATCAATCTGGATTATTTATGGAGTACAGATGCAATCTACTTTGGCTACAGCCTTATCTTGACTTTGCTTTTGGCAACAGGAACATTTATAGCTTCCTTTGCACCCTTGGGCTGTCTGCCTGTTTGCATAAGAGAGAACAGATGTTGTCCCCCTGGGACTAAACTTTGTTGACCTCCCTGAGTCCACAAACATGTTGACAGGAGAAGTTTCAGTCACAAAGGGGAGTCAGCAGACCTGAAAGGGACTTTGCACTCAGATTTTTGTATGCAAGGAAATTAAAGGAGAGGAAAGGAGAAGATATGATAGTCATATGATACATAAAATATGATATATTGGTGCAACATTTATTATGCATGATAAGTATACTGATATCCATTGTAAGTAATAGCCATAATCCTTATGTCTCCATAAAGGAACTTATGGAGAGAGTCAGCATGGTGTAGTGGTTTGAGTGTTGGACTAAAACTCTGGAGATCTGGGTTCGATTCCTGGCTCAGCCATGGAAACCCACTGGGTGACCTTGGGCGAGCCACACACTCTCAACCAAAGAAAACCCAGTGATAGGTTCACCTTAGGGTTGCCATAAGTAAAAAATGGCTTGAATCATAGAATCAGAGAATCATAGAGTTGGAAGAGGCCCCAAGGACCATCTAGTCCAACCCTAGTCTGCCATGCAGAAACACACAATCAATGCCCCCCCAATAATTGGCCATCCAGCCTCTGTTTAAAAACAGACTTCATCACTCTCTGAGGGAGTGTGTTCCACTGTCGAACAGCTCTTACTGTCAGAAAGCACACAACAACAGCAATGTGGACTTAGATCCATGAGAATTAGAACTGGGTATGCTATGGGCACCTATGAAAGAACTAGAAAAGATCCTAAAATGCAAAGACATACAACTCAGCACAAAAGTCAGAATCATACAAGCCATTGTATTCTCTGTTTCCATGTATGGATGTGAGAGCTGGAAAGTCAAGAAAGAAGATAGGAGGAAAACCAATGCATTTGAGATAAAGTGGGGCTGGAGAAGAGTGCTGAGGATCCCATGGATGGCCAAAAGGAGAAACAAAATGGTCCTAAAGCAGATCAAGCCAGAGATATCCCTAGAAGCCAAGGTGGCAAGACTTAGATTGTCGTACTTTGGACACATCATGAGAAGGCATCAATGATTGGAAAAGACAAT